GTGATCACATTTAGGATCGATAGCCGTACTATTAAGAGGGGTCAAACTCGTATCGAAATGCGATTATCAAAGTGCCACTAGATGCTCTAACTCATTGCATATGCATTTAGGATCTAGTGGAGTGCTAACACCCTTGAAAATATGCTAACACATGTGCACAAGGTGATACACTTGGTGGTTGGCACATTTGAGGAATGGTGAAGAAGATAGAGGTGAAAAGGAGTTAGTCGCGCTGGTCATAGAGTGACCGGACGCGTCCGGTCGCCACACCGGACGCGTCTTGTGTGAATCAGCAAAGTCGTTGTTCGGTGAAATAGTTGATCGGACGCTAGCAGCGTCCGGTCCGAAGTGATCGGACGCATCCGGTCGACCGTGGGTGCTTACTAGACTCGACCGGACGCTGAGGCTCAGCGTCCGGTCAGTTTCTAACAGACGTGTCCGATCGGCCTCGGGTACTCTCTGGACTCAGCCAGACATTGCAGCTCTGTGTCCGGTCATTTCTATTTTAGCGTCCGGTCTGAGCATCCGGTCGTCAGCAAGTGTGGGCAGCAACGGCTACCTTGGTTTGAACTGGACACGTGGTGATCTGGGAGCGACCGGACGCGTCCGGTATTCATGAACGGCGTCCGGTGCACTCGAGTAGCGCGTCCGGTCGATGCACAGTCAGCCCAATAATTGAGCCAACGGCTCTATTTTGTGGGGGCTTCTATTTAAGCCCCATGGCCAGCTCAAGCTCACTCTCTTGGCCATTTGCATTGACATAGCAAACTTGTGAGCTTAGCCAAAGCCCTTCCACTCATCTCTATCATTTATCCATCATCATTGTGAGATTGGGAGAGAATCCAAGTACATTGCTTGAGTGATTGCATCTAGAGGCACTTGGTATTCGTGTTTCGCTGTGGGATTCACTTGTTTCTCTTGGTGGTTGCCGCCACCTAGACGGCTTGGAGCAGCGAGGATCGTCGAGCGGAGGTTGGTGATTGTCTCCGGCTCCGATCGCGGTGATTGTGAGGGGTCTTGTGCCTTCCCCTGTGGAGCACCGAAAGGTAACTCTAGTGGATTGCTCGTGTCATTGAGTTACCTCACTTGTGGGTAGCTTCTTGCGGTGTCCAATTGTGTGGACAAGGTTCGTGCAACACCTCTTAGCCGCCGAACCACCAAGTGTTGGTCGACACAACGGGGACTAGCGTGCCAACAAGCACGTGAACCTCGGCAGAAAAATTGATTGTCTCTTGCCCTTTGGTATTCTCCCGATGATTGATTTAGTATTCATCTTGTGATTGGTTCACTCCTCTACACGGCGGTATAATCACTCTACTCACTCATTTATATTCTTGCAAACTAGTTATAGCAAGCTCTTTAGTGTAATTACATTTGAGAGCTTGCTTTGTTGTTTTAAGTTCATCTAGTGGAGCTCTTTAGTGTAGCAAGTGTGAGAGCTCTTAGTAAGTAGTAACATAGTAAATTGTGTGTCTAGTGATCATAGCAACTAGAATTGTTGGATAGGTGGCTTGCAACCCTTGTAGAGCTAGAGTAAGTTTGCATTTTGCTATTTGTCATACTAATCAAATTGCTCTAGTTAGTTTGTAGATTTTTAAATAGGCTATTCACCCCCTCCCTCTAGCCATATTAGGACCTTTCAGCGTGTGTTTTGGGGTACCCAACTGGGATACATTGGTTCACGAATCGCTGTGTGATACGGTACGACTTGGCTACGATCTAGCACCGTAGTAAGAACTGGAATATGAAAGATGGTAAAATAGTTCTGATTGCTTACCACCTGCTTGAAAGTAGAATAGGTGCTTACCTAGAATGGTTAGATAATGGACTAATGGTGACTGCTAATAAAATTGAATATAAGGATGCACGCTTAGTAATGCTTCCTGCAGATGCAATAACCCACAAGCCAGATAGCCTTGTATATCCTTGGAGTCTTTTAATTTCTTTCTGTCGGGTAAGTCTTGCTAAGTACAATCGAGTACCCAGGGTTTGTTCTACCCTGTTGTAGGTGACAGAAATATGTGGAGCTAACACTTGTGTGTGGAAATCTCCTGGTGGGCTCAGCGAGGATTTCGTTAACGTTGCGGACATAGAGTTTATTTGAAACTTTCACCCAAAATGTTTTACAATGGAAAAATTTATAACCTGTTATGATGTATGTAACGAACCATCATGTTAATGTTTAACTTGTCATTAAATGATTTTATTTTCGCTGAAACTCTGATAACATGATTATATTCCGCTGTTATAAACAATAAATATTATACTCTGATGTTGCATGGAAAGTGATGTAAGAAATGGCTAAAATATTGTAAGCTTTATTCTCCTATTTATGATCCTGTTGAAAAATGTGGATTTTCGGGTTCTCCTATGGGGTGTGCTCGACAGAACTGTTTAAATTAGCTCACTCTTGGGGTGTTTAGTGTCTAATGGAAGACAAGCACCTCCGAAAGTGAGTTATTTTAGGCGGTTCTGCCACAGGTGGTATCAGAGCATAAATAAGGAAATAAAGCTTCAAAATCCTTTTCTAAACTAAAATTTGATAACCTATTTTTGCGGAAAGTTAGGGCGTTTGCATACGAAGTATATAAGTAGCCCTATTGTTATTGTTAAGTACCCAGAATAGGTTTAACTAGGTTCTCTCCGGTGGACTGACTCTCGCGTAGTATACGATCTTCAAGTCAGTCGCGCCAGTACTGCCTTAGTCGTCGTGACCATATGGCTGGTAGATGCGCCCTTCATAGATATCACGTGCGTCCTATTATGCATGACTGACTCGTCCCTGTTCAGGAGTTACTGCTGAACTGTGGCTTCGTGCTTCACGTTCGCCTATGGTTCGCGCCTGTTGTGACCCACGTCTCTCCGTACTCCTTTCTGCGCTCTTGTTGGATCCTTGCCCTGCAGCCGTACTAGTCATTAATGGCATTGGACATCGTTTGTCTCGAACGCGCGAAAAATTTGGTCGATTCATTCATAGTGATCCCGCGCAGGAACCTTGGTGGACTACGCCAGGACCACTGACCGCTCTATCATTCTAAGCAGGGCCTAGCCTAGCCATTGGTACCGCCACTCGGTGCACTCTAGATCACCTAACCCTTCCTTTTGAGCAAGCTTTTTGCTCAATCCTCCTTTGCAACCACTGCCAGGGATGACAGGAGCTTGGGTTAGCAGTTGCTGCCTGAACACTAAGGGTTTTCCTAAAATCCTGTATGCCACCCTGCAAAAACTCGGGGTCAAGGATCATCCCGAGTATGAGGGCCGTGAGTATGAAAAGCATGGCACTGAGCGGTGTGAAGTTACCGTCTATATTGGAAAGAGTGAAGAGTTCCCCGGCATCACTGAAGCCTGGAATGTGACCACAATCGGGTTTTGCTTCATCGACACCTACCAGGTTGTGGCCCACAAAGCCTTGCGGTACCTTTGCCAGATCTATGAAGAGCCCATTGCTCGTGCCCCCATGAGGTTCTTTCCACCTTTGGAAAAAAATCGACGGGCATGGGGGACTCGTATGGAGGCTTTGCAAGGGCGGGATGCACAAGAAGACAGTTCAACCGTGGTGCACTTGACCATGTATCTGCTTGCTCTGGATGAACAGTATGACCGACAAGCCTTGGAGCTGAGGAAATGCCTCCGGCGAGCCGAGGAAGCCGAGATCTTCTTCAGGATGCTCCAGGTGCAGCTTGCCAAAGTGCATGCCAGTGCGGCAACCGCAGAGAGTCGGGAGACTGCCATGTCGGAAGCCCTAAAGGAGGCCGAAGATCGGCATGCTCACCAGCTAGGAGAGGCCTACCTTGTCACCAGGACCAAGCGTAGGACGCTGGCCGCTGAAAGGCAGGATCCCGTGATCGTGGAAGGAATCTCTGTCCACCCACCGAAAAGGAGAACCGGTGTTGTAGTACCGCCAGTAGCCCCACCATCGGAAGTTTCAGAAGTAGAGCTCTTGCTTCTCCTCACTCAGGCAGATCCATAGCCAGGACGGTAGAAGAATCCGCCGAGCCCGAAAATGGAGATGCATGGTCCGATAAAGTAGATTAGTTGTCTTGGGAAGATGTACCCGTAGTTAGTGGTGCCTTTCATCGCTGTCCTCCAATATTGTAATCTTTTCGTTGTATTTCGTCCGTAGTTGTTGAGATCATCCGATCATAGGAAAAGTGAATGATGTGTCAAGAATGGGGGAGTGAGTACCTGTATGCTGTACCAGCATAAGGACATTTGAAATGTGTATTTTATTTATTTATGTTGTGTTTATTATGTCCATCTACTCTTAAGTCTCATTAGACGTGTTTAGGGTTTTCAAGTCCATCTGCTCCTAAGTCTCATTAGACGTGCTTAGGGTTTTCAAGGACGACGCATGCGTATAACGCCACTGACAAACATCATCTACGGGGATGGTGTACTCGGAACAGAACAAGCGGCATCACTTTCCTCAGTTCTTCAAAAAAAAAAAGTACGATTGTCGTAAGATTTTTCTTAGAATGAGTGACATTGTGGCGGCAGTTTTAGTTTTCAAAATGGTCCTGACATCATTTTTTTTAAAGTGTCATAAATTTTGTTCTGCTACAAGTTTAGAAGGAAAAAAAGAAAAGGTTTCAAAGATGGTATTTGTTGCATCATTTTTTAATTTAAAAAAGAAGGATTCAAAAAATAAGTTCTCAAGATTACTATACACCATTTGTCACGACATTATAGCATGCTAAACCAACAGAGCCCACTCCCTAAAGAACAGCACCGAGCCAGCACAACCACGTCTTTAAACTCCATTCTCTATTATTTGTCTATTTAACAAGACAAAAATTATCTATGTACAACTCCCACAATGGTGCCAGGAAGGTAATGAAAAAAGGGAGGAAAATTTCCTGGGCAGCCACAACACAAGGTATGGGCAGGGGTATACCAAAATCTGCACATGTCTACTCGAATCATTACTTCTCCGCAAAGAAAAAGAAAACGCTACTTCTTTTCTGGGGCGACCACCAAAAAATTTCATGCCAGGCTCAGATCTACTTAGTCTCAGCCTTGGTATGACTTGCGGTCACCGCCACACTGCTGCTACTGATGCGAGTTCCTTTCTCTGCCATCTCTCGGGCTTTCTCATTTGCCTTGTTGAAGTCTTCTAGGGTCCGGAACTCCTCCCTCAGGAGCCTCTCCAGCTCTGGAAGTTTATCTACAGGTCCACTATCTGGATTTCGGTAATGGTGAAATGCCCTGGTGCAATTAGAAAAAATCAATGTCAGTGACGATCATGGGATCAAATCAGACAAGTTCCACTCCAATTTGCAGATTCCATTATCAAGTTGGACCACCAGTTTTCCTAGTATACACCACTTTCATGTAGAAACTGCATGCATAACAATATATAGAAATTGAATGAACTGCATGCGTACAGCTACTCGTAGGGTGACACTATAACAGTAAGTTCACATGTAATCGTAGAGTTTCAGCAACAGAATGTTCCTTCGCTAAAGATAAACAAATAATCTCCAGCGACTGTTTCACAAAAGAGGAATGCAAACAAATAAAAAGATAACACACACCAGTATTTTTCGAGTCCATAAAGATCACCATTACGGTAGAATTCTAAAGTAAGCTTCTCGAAATCTTCATATACATTGGGTTGGAAGTTTTTCTCCAAACCATAACTGCAAAAAAAAAGGTAATAATTGATGCTGCTCTATTGCAAAATGCACTCCCTCCATAAACTTTTTTAAGGCGCACACGCATATTAAGATTCAAACTTTAAAAACTTTGACCGATAATTTAGTTAAATTTTTTTTAACTATTACAATACAAACTTAATACGGTTAGATTTGTAATCAAATATACTATCAATTATCATAAGTTTATGTCAAGGGCCTCGACGCCCAGGGTAGCCAGCCCTTGGCTACGGAGGTTGTAGCCGCGGTCCGTGTCGCCTCCGGTGAGGTTTTGCCCCTCCACCGTGAGTTTGGTTAGAGAGAAGAGAGAGATTAGGGATAATGATCTTTCTTAATTTGCAAAGTGCCGGATACAATACTAAATAGCCCATGGCTGGAACTGCCATGCCTACAATTTAGGAAAGCCAACAAACTAATAGGAAAGCCAAATAACTAATTGCTACTTGCTAAACTTAGCCACTAACGGTGGCCTTCCCAGCCGAGAGCTGGGCGCGCTCTGCAGCGCAGCGCACGTCACGCGCACGGCGTCTCACGTACGAGCGCCCCCACATGACAGTTTATAACCCTTAACAATATAAAATAAAATAAATAAATGGTCAAAGTATAATTTAGGAGACCGTGTCATATCAAGTCATGCCTTATAAAAGATTATGGAGGTAGTACTGATCAAATAAGATGCTGCAAAATGCAAATAAGCAGCAATTGGAACGCTATTCTTCAAACTACGATGTCCATACCTATAAAATCTGAATAGACACTCAAGACCATATCTGTAGCTCGCTTCAGCATCCTCCAGTGCCAATTGCTTAAAATGATTGTACATATCATCGTTAAAGTTATCTCTTAGATAGTACGACCAAAAACGATACAGTGAGTTCATTTGCTGCAGACCATTGAAAGCACACATGTCAATAGTAATGAAAAATATAACTTTTCAGTTAAAGAACAAGGGCACATGTAGTATAATCATAAGTCTCCGATGGTCCAACTGACATAATCACGAAGACAATGTAATAACACGTATAGATTAAACCTAATCAGCTTTATGCTTTTTCGCTATTTAGTGTTTACAAAGACAAGACTGCCAGATAAATATAGAGAACTGTACCTCACTCTGGCCAGTGCCTAATTTCTTACGCTCCATGAGGCATTGATTTTTGAACTTATTGTACCTTCACTCAAAACAAGAAGGTTGATATATATAAGAGGAAATGGAACGGAGGAGAACAGATGAATAATGTTTAAAGAACATTAACTTATAATACACTTCCACGCCGTAAGACATTTACCTTTGCTGCTGGAGCTTATTCTTTTCTAAAAGATGAAAAGTAAGATGGTGAGATTGTGGAGAAGATTTGGGCACAGATCCAACAGGCGAGCTCCCAGTAGGAATTCCATGAGATGAACTCAGCTTTGAGCTTTTATAACTAGACAGCAGTGGAATCATCAAATCAACAGCAATTTGAGGCAGCAATTAGGTAGGTTTTACTGAAGTAGACAAGGATTAATTGTTGACCCACCTGTGATTTTCTGGAGTAGATCCATAGAAATATCCAACTGAATTGCCTGGAGGACTTTCTGATACACCACCATATTGATCAGGATTATTCACAAAATTACCAGCAAAGAACCTCTGTTTACGTGAGCTGTGCGCGCTTTTCTATTGCCTCTATTTTGGCGCCTACGTGGAATGGGCTGTCCAGCTTCTTCAGTACCATTAGTCCCAGTGCCAATATGATTCGCCTTTGAACCACTGGTTGGTTTAGAATCAACATCTGCAGGATCAGCCTGGGAACTTCTTTGATTATCAGTCGGCCGACCATGAAGTTTCTGAAGTCAGAATTAATAGTACAATATTAGCATGAGAATAGAACAAAAGGTAGAATCTAATACCAAATAGAAGATCATCGTATACAAACCGGAGTCTCAGAATGCCCTCTAAGAGAAGCAAAAAAAGCAAGCTAGTAAAATTAAGCTCAGACACTCAAGACATTCAAGCCTGACCTCAAGTCAGCTTGATTCAGATGTAGCCCCACAAGGAATACACTTATTCCAAGTTTCCAACACACTTATTTCAATGACTCCAAATTTAAATAAGCAAACATGTGAATCAATGATACAGAGTCCAAGACTCAAACAGCAATATGGAACAAAATTGAAAAATTGTCTATTGCTACCAATAAGTTTATCTGGGACCTGACACTGAAGGTTACAAAATACCCTGCAACTTTTCATAGATGAGGAAAGCAGCTATTGAAGTGCCTGAACCGTGACTTGGGGCTCTTGGTGGGTTTCAACTCTAGCCTACCCCAACTTGCTTGGGACTGAAAGGCTATGTTGTTGTTGTTGTAGAATTTGAAATAATGAGCTTATAATTTTGCGACGGAAGCATTTGCTCAATTTACCATAAATATAAGGATAAATGAATCTGGTAAGTAGGTAGTATTAACTGGAGCAGAACCACCAGCAATCTATGTTCTCACAGATGTGTTAGAGGTGTTAACTGGGAGGTAACTTCGTTATAAGGGCCAAATAGTCTTTTTTCAGCCAATCAATTGTTGGTTAACAGGTAAATGGATAGCATGACAATGGCCGATGAGCATTGGCCAGTGGCATATAAGGAATTTCCCCACTTTGTAATGCTATGAACGTAACACATCACCTCATAGCGGTATAAGGCATCACTTATTCTTGAAGCTTCCTCAGTTGAAAACGCTTGTGGTAAACTTTTGCGATTTTTGTCATCCTTTTCTAGCTTAGTATCCTGTGAGATACAAAATTGAAACAATATCTCAGTGAAATGTTCTCAATGTCATTAAATGATACAGCTTAGCACTAGCTCATCACAAGTTCCATATCTCAGACATCAACTCGATCTTCAAAATACTTTGGACACCAAATTGTATTGTAAAAACTAATGAAGAAACATCGGGATCCCGACGTTTACAAGGATGTTGCCTTTCAACTGAAAATAATTTCAGCATGCATTATAAATGCACTTTATTGAACTGTTAGGGGGTTCTCTACAACCCACCAGCCCCAGGCCCAAGCAAACATACAATACAACTCACTGCATGGTTTGGAAAAAAAACAGAAGAAATTAACAATTAGTTAGTCATTACTCAAGGCCAATAAGCCATTCTAGAACAAATAAGCATGATTACGGTGACTAAATACATGTAAGACACCAAAAGTATCTCAATCACACAAGTCTGAGCTAAACCCTTAAAGGCCTGTTTGGATATGGGGTAATCAGAATCTAGATCCAGCCGTTAGAATTTAGTGAAGCTTTAGTTTAAAAATCCTATAAACCTCTGGTGCAATACCACTCCTCCAAACAGGACCAGCCCCAAGAAAGTTTTTAAAAATCTTACAATTGTCAGCAGAATAAATAAAAAGGCTCTGCTCATCGAAGCGTGAAATGCACATCAGAAGTCTAGAGATACTATCAAAGATAACTGAACAAAAATACTGTCCAATATTGTCAACTTAAGGAATGCTATCTAATGAATCACCCATTTGCCCCAACACTATCAAATATGACAAGTTAACCTCCAACTAGTCAGTGGCAAAATAAATAGATAAAGATTACAGATGTTAAAGAAAATTATAATCTAGAGCTTCAACAAGCAAGTGCGTAGTTTTGGGCCTGCTACGCTGTGACATTTGTGCAGTATGGCATTATATATAGCCACTCAACAAGTAATTGTACTGTTTGGTCCACCACAAATTTTATTGAAGAACAATTCCTACTAATAAACTATGAATGTACTCTCCTTAAGGGCACCAATAGCAATGCAATTACAAAGAGTGGCATGAATGCAAATATCTTAAAACAGGCAAAACAACAGACACAAAAGGGTTAATTGACAATTCTAGATTTGGTAGTATAGGATAGATGTGATATGAAAAGGATGCATCAAATAAAAGAGTATTGTATTTGTATACAAGGTCTATATTACAATGAACTCCTAACCTGATTTACCCAAAATCATTCGATCATTGTCCATATTAAGAAACCAACAGAGGCAAACAAGTGCATTATTGGTTATGACAGCAAGAAACAAAAAAGTTAAGGCATTATATCATTATATAAATATAAATAAAGCAAGATGCACAAAATTATGTAAGTCCAACCTGTGTGACAATCATTAGCCTGCTAACATCTTGATCATCAACAAAAAAGTCCTCATCCTCATCATTGCCCCTGCTTGAAACAGAAATATTGCAAAAGAAAATCATTAATGCATGCACAACTTCTAGTCCCTGTAGCATAGGAGATGTGCAATGGAGCACAACAGGAGAACTACTTTGAGCTATACACAAATGTTATCAGCCTGACTTTCTGATCTGTATGGTAAGACATGATATCTAGTAAGACAAATTTCATTTTTTTTTTTAAATATGAAGATGTTATATACCATTCTACTATGGAAGCAGACCATTGGTTGCTGGAAAAAATATTTTATGCATAATGCAACTAAAACATAATATTTTAGTGAAATACCGACATTAAATATGGCTAGCGTATATTTTTCTGACATTTCAATAGCAACTTAAGATTTCTCCTTGTGGCTTTGCCACCTAGTTTGCCATGATTGAAAGTGACAAACAAGTACATGTATAACAGTAACATATTATATACTATTTAAAAGGTGTATTATTATTGTGTAAAGTGTATACTGTATAGTACCTTTTGTTCCAAAAGAAAATACAAGTGCGCAGCTTACATGGATAAGGAAACGCCACATCTATCACAGATAACTAGAGGGGGGGTTGCAGCAAACATCGAATGACCATCAGTAGGCTAAGGGCATGTTGGAATTTCTTGCCCAATGCCCACCCTGCTTTGTCAAGAAAAAGCTAGGTAGCTAGCCCATATGAATAATAGCTAAAGGAAGCAAAGTTGACAAGGCTTAGGGTATGTTTGGTCTGCTACCAAATTTGTCACCTCTTAGGTTTTTAGCCAAGCCAAATTTCGGCTGCTAAATGGCCCAGGATTTGACAAACTTTGGCCATCAAAATGAATTAATGTGGCCAAAGGAGAAGGCTAGCAAACCAAACTTTTGCACTCAACCAAAATGGTGGCTAAAATTGGTCAATGTAGACAAAATTTGGCTTGGCCAATTTGGGCAAACTTGCACCAAACCAAACACAACATAAGTATTTAGTTATTCTGCCTTGAGAAGGGAAAAATAGGCTACCACATCCACATGCATACACACCTAGAAAATAATTAATAAACACGTGGAAATTTGATCTTATACCAGTTATAATTTACCTTTTATGTGAATAGAGGTCATCACGTGAATGGTCCACATGTTCCAGTTCCAATTCCTCATCAAGCAAGAAAGTGCTCTGGTCACCACCAAAGCTAGAGAAGTCACTTGGGAAACCATTAGAGAAACCTCTTTCACTCTGAGCATCAGGTACATTTATCTTCGACCTCACTTTCTGAACTTCACCAAATCTAAAAGAAGAATCATGTTTGTGTGAAGGGTGTGCAGAAAGGTTCTTCTTTTCATCAATACTGATGACAGAAAAGTCCTTATTCAATGAATAACCATGTGAATCTTGCACTTGTTCATCAATAACTTTTTCCTCGACACCAATATCTGTATTTCTAATATCTTTAGATTGATAATACTTCTTTTGATCTTCAGAATAAGCATCCTTATTTGAAAAGCCACCAATGTTCTTGTCACCCACACTGCTATCCATACTGGCAGATGATGGGCTCGCAACAGATGTACCAGAAAGCGAGACCCACTTTGACCAATCAGAACGCCTTCTAATCTTCTCATCCTGGCAGTAGACAAGCAAATGATAAGATAAACCAAATACCTAAACAGAACATGAAATTCGAACAATGACAATTAAAATAACATTGCAACCTGAACTTCTAGAAGACTTGAGCTTGCCAGTGCATCAAATATCAGGTGTATATCCTCGGTCATTTTCTTAAGCTGCAAATAAGAAGAAAAAACAAAAGAGTTGTTTCCTAGCACAAGGGCAAAATAATAGAAATACAACATTGAGCAATCTGGAAAGAAAACATACTCTCTTGAAATCTGCAAGTTTTGAAACTGGAACCCAACCAAGCTCATCCATTAAAGATTTCAAGAAATCATCATGCTCCAGATTTGTATCACTGAAAAAAAAATGATTGAATAAACAAAAGATTCGATGCCACAGTTGTGCTAAAAGAACATTTAGTCACTCCTAATGTTATTGAAACATATAAGATCGTCTTAAATTGTAGGCTGTCTTGGTATTTGCATGTATGTTGCATAATGACAATACAACAGTGAAGTATGATGCAACATAAAACTTAACTTTTTAAGATCATGTTTCTGACGACCAGCAAATATCCAATTAAAATAAACTATTCGGCACCGCTACCCAGCACCCACAAAAATTAAATGAGAATCTATCAACACATTGCTACAAATCCAAGTGCCTATTTTTATAGGTATCATGCTTTCTTATAACTTCAAAAGAAGATAATAAGAATTTACCTGAAGTAGTACTCCACTTGAGTTAGTATATTAGATCTTAACTCAGCAGCTTCTGGGGATAAAACAGGATTAGGAGCTGGTTGATTTTGAATGTAACGTGGTGGACCTCTCATTGAATCCATAGGTACAGCAGGCATGTAATAATACATGGGAGGGATAGGCCCTGAGTTTAAAGCATTCATCAATATTTGAAAACTAAAAAAATCCAAATTCCAAACATGTCATAACTGGTGAGTAGAGGCATTACCAGGATATGGTGGTCCATTTATGTATCCAAGAGGTACCATTGGTCTGACAAAAGCTCTTGGCCCAAGACCTTGTGGTAAGCTTGTGTTTTCTCTAGTACCAAACATCTGAGGATTTTGCCAAGCCTGACCATAATGGCCATGGCCTTCAGGACCAGGATGGGGCCTAGTGCCATGAGTGCCAACAGGAGGCCGCCAAAGATGAGGATCTCCTCTTGGATGTGGCGGCATTGGCCTGTTACCTTCATGGGCACCAACTTGATCTACTGGAACAAAAGGAGGCACAGAATTCTCATAACCAGACTTTCCAACATGCCGGTCATGATTTGGGACCGGGATAGGAAATGGTTGGTAAGAATATTCTTGTAGTATCATTGGACTGGGAACCACAGGGTAAAAAATGGGTTGCCCTGGATGTTGGGGATAATGCATTGGTGGAGGGTATGGTGCACCATTAGCAGCAGGAAGACGTCTCCTGGGCCCATTTCTATGATGGGCTTGGTTATTTCTGTTGGGATTTCCATTTCCATGGCCATCAAACTTGTGCATACGACTAGCCACCTGAAAATGTTTGCCCATTTTTATAAAACTGAAGCAAAGTATGAATAGTAGATGGAAAATGCACATAGGATCTAACCTAGGAAGAGTGACTCTAATCCTATATGCATCAGTAATAGAAATGCTATAATGTCTTTACAAAAACCAAAGAAGCACCACAACTTTTATTGTGATACAGAGATGCAATGAAGC